ATGTGGGATCTTCACCGCTGCGCCCCCAGGGAAGCCCGCGTCCGAGTTCTCACTGTGCGCCTTCCTCTCCCAGCCTCTCCGCCAGCACCCTGTCCATGTCCTCCGGGAGCAGCCTGGGCTCCCTGGCCTCCAGCCGGGGGTCCCTGAACACGTCCAGCAGAGGGTCGCTCAACTCTCTCAGCTCCAGCGAGCTCTACTACACCAGCCAGGGCGACCAGCTGGACGCGGATTATCAGTACAAACTGGACTTCCTCCTGCAGGAGAAAGGCGGCTACATGCCTTCCGGCCCCATCACCACCATCCACGAACACGAGGTGGCCAAATCCCCCAGCCAGCCTGGCCAGAGTGGTCCCGGGGGGGCGGCGGCCGCAGCCCCCGGCCGCCCCGCCCCCCTGGCCGAGGCCCCCAAGTCCGTGACATCCCTGTCCTCGAGGTCCTCCCTGTCCTCCCTGTCCCCGCCCGGCTCCCCCCTGGGCTTGGAAGGCGCGTTCCCCATGTCTGCGCACGACGGCCCGCTCCATCCGCTCTCTGCTGACTTGGAGGACTGCGAGCTGAGCGGCCACTTCGAAGACATCAGCCTCGGAGAGCATCAGCTACTGCTGGACCCTGACCCGGGAGGAGCGCCCCCGTCTCTGCTGGACGGGATCAAGGAGCTCCGCGAGTGTGCTCAGGAGCCTCTGTATGAGGGGCCCGCAGGTACACAGAGACCCCGCCCTGAGCTGCCCCCGCTGAACCGTCTCAAGGGGTGAGGGGGGTTACTTTTTCCCTGGGAGCGAGTATTGCTACACGTCCCCCTTCTCTTCCTGCTGCTCTTTTTTCATTTTGGCTTCATTTGGGAAAGAACGTTTATTGCTATAACTTGCACATTTTTTTTTTTCTCATCAAATACAAATCGCCTTCCGTGTTTAATAGATTTAACCGTTAAATGTCCGTTGTGTCATCTGGAACCCTGCTGTGTCCTGCAGCTGCCTGGGGACATACTTTGTGAACATTCTTCAGGCTTCCAGATAAGGGTCTGTTTCTGAAACAGTGAGGTGGGGAAGAGGACCTTTTTTTTTTTTAAAGTTGGCCTAAAACAGATTCAAACCAAGGCAATTAGCATAGCAGCTAATTAGGACCAAGGTTCAGTGTTTAGATTGCTGTGGGAATTCTCTATAAATACAGTTTCTGCTTCATGCCAGACTCTCCCTTTCTGCGGAGAGTTAATTTGGAGAAAGCGGTCCCAGCCTGCGGTGTCGTCCTGCCACCTTCTGGCTGCAGTACTAGTTGCCGTGGGATTGAGTTCCCACTCCTGCCTCTGAGCTCAGAGAGGCAGAAACAGAGGGGAACGCTAAGACGCTTTAATTGCTTGCCTTTGCAAGGCCGGAGCTTTTAATACAGCAGATGTGGTTGTAAAGATCCCGGGATGGCGCGCACCTTGGTTGGCAGCTGATCACAGCTGTGGTCCAAGGAGCCCGCCCTGAACACGATGAGAAATGGACTCCAGCGCCCAGGGCACAGACAGGGATGCTGTGTGGCTCCTGTGCCGCTCGCCCAGCAGGTGCCAAAGCTGCAAGTGACGTGTTATGGAGATAATTAGCTGCAAAGAAAATGAGCACCGAACCGGTGTTTACAGAATGGCTCCAGCAAAGCAGAGACCTCCTCGCGCCTGTCCCCGGGAAGGCATGCGGTGTGTGGCACTGGGGCCCACCACCCCCTGGAGCCAGCCCAGCCTGCTCTGACATCTCAGGGGCCTTTCAGTTCCAGCGGGCACGTCGCCCCGTCTCTCAGGCTCGTTAGTTCCTCACCTGCAAGGTGGGGGCAAGATGGTATCTACCTCATGGGGTGCTGGGAAGATTGACGCTCTCGTAATGCATCAGGAACATCAGCCGTGTCTGGTGCTCAGCATGCAGCTCACGGGAGTTAATATCACCCCCGTGACTCTGAGCAATGCAAACTCTGCTAAACCCAGTTCCTACCACAAACCACTGACATCTACAAAAGGAAGATAAAGCAAGAGAAAGGGAAGAAAGAGGAGTGGGTTTTGTTCCTTTCTCCTGTGCTGCGGGCCTGAAGGACCTGAGGACAGTTCCTGAGTTCGTCCTGTCCCTGCTGGAGGGCGGAAATCAAGCCAGAATACCTCCGAAGTCCTTCCGCTGTCAGTCTCTGTCACCGTCGCAGTCAACTTCAGGCTGCTGTGGTTACTCCTGGGGGTAATCAATAAATCATGTCATCACCTTCACCCTTCGTGAAGGAGGGGTGGGCGGAGAGAAGGCACTGCATCATCAAGGAAGAAGCATTCCCCCTGCCTGAAATAAAAAGGGCAAGGCAGCCATCAATCCAGAATCTAGAGCCTCAAGACTTAAACATCTTAACAAGATGTAAAGTCATGACTCAGAAGGGAGGTGAAATGCATACCAGTGTGGATCCAGGCTCTCCGCTGGCCCGAGGATGAAAGCACGCCGCGGGCTTGCCGCCTATTACACGGGGGCACAGCTTCAGACGAGGCTGCCGGCTCTCCGCAGGACGCCTGGCCATGAATATGAGTCAGAGATAAAAGTTAAGTGGGAGTCATTGAGAATTCAGTAACTCACAGTTTTTAATGGTATTTAGCCAGTGAGGAATTCTGTAAGTCAAAGACATTTCCCCTTTAACTTCTATTAGAGCAGCAGCTGGGGAGATGGAGACTGGAGAGAAGGGGCGAGCAAAAGAGGCAAAGACATTTCTTCCATCGAGTGCCAGAAGCTGTTATAGAAACTTCTCCAACACTTGAGGGAGGCAGACAGCTTCTTATCCCTGACCGTGGCGTCTGTAGTGAACCCCGAGACAAGGGAGGCAGGGGACCCAGGAGAGTGTGTGCCGGTGATCCCTCCCCTCAAAATATCCCGGGACAGGGGAACACCAGATTCTGCCTCAAATAATAACCAAAATAATGAGCCTCCCAGGATTTTGTAAGTCATAGCGCCTGGAATCATCCACCTCTGTTGATTTGAAGAGTAACATCCTTGATTCTCAGTGGAAATTTTGAGTTTCTCGGAACCAAACCATGTGTGTGCGTGCATGTGTGTGTGTGTGTGTGTGTTAGATTTAACTTTTCCTAAGAAGAAATCCTAATGGCTGCTATCACTCTCCCCTCCCTAGATGTGGAAAAATCGTTACCAAAAAGAAGGGGAATCCACTTGCTGGGGGAGAAGACCGCCTGTGTGTCAGCTGCGGTCTCGGATGAGTCAGTGGCTGGGGACAGCGGGGTCTACGAAGCGTTCGTGAAACAGTAAGGATCCAGCCCGAGCGGCTGCTGCACACGCCCGGGGGCGCGTGGATGACCGGCCCTCCGTCCACTCGCTGCAGCGGGAAGGGCTGTGGGCATTAAAGAAGGTCAGGGGTGCCAGCAGCGTCCCACTGGCAGGGAAGTGAGGAACAGGTTGATGTGCTCGTCAGCTGAGCCTCTTAGAGACGTAAACGCGATTTTTAAAATTTATTTATTTATTTGTGTTGGGTCTGGGTTGCAGCACTGGGGATCTCCATTGTGGTTCGTGGGCTTCTCTAGCTTCGGCACCCAGACTTTGTGTAGCTGTGGTGCAAGGGCGTGTTGATCTGAGTTCTCAGACCAGGGGTCACACCCGTGTCCCCTGCACACGACCACCAGGGAAATCCCGCAAGCTTGATTGACTGGGCACACCGCAGGGGCCGCCCAGTGCCTGTTTGGCGTGCAGAGCGTCTCATGTGTGCAGGTCTCGGGCAGCCCATTCCGGGGTGCGGCAGGTCCCGGGGAGCTGTGGGAAAGCCGGCCACCAGGTGGGCCTCCCCCCTCGGGGCCCAGGTGCAGAGTCCTCCCGATGAGGGGAAGCCAGATTTGAAAGAACAAGCTTGCACTGGGGTCAGGCCCACGGGCTGGTCCCGGAGTGCCATTAGTTCAGGTTTTTGTTCAGAATTGGTGAGGGGCAGACAGTTCCCAGGTGGCGCTAGTGGTGAAGAACCCGCCTGCTGATGCAGGGAGATGTAAGAGATGTGGGTTGAATCCCTGGGTCGGGAAGATCCCCTGGAGGAGGGCATGGCAACCCCCTCCAGTGTTCTTGCCTGGAGAATCCCATGGACAGAGGAGCCTGAGGCGGGGAGCAGGGGGTGGCTACAGTCCATGGGGTCGCAAAGAGTCAGCCACGACTGAAGCAGCTTAGCATGCACACAGGCAGGCAGCGACCACAGCTCTGCATGCCCTGGTTCACAAGCGTTGACCCGCGCCTGCCCGTGCCCCGCCCACAGGCCCAGTGAGGTCGAGGACGTGCCGTACAATGAGGAGGACGCCACGGTCATGGAGACGGCCCAGGTGCAGATCGGGCTGAGGTGAGGACGGCTCCGGAAGGGCGGCTTCTGGCCTCCGTGCGCCAGCGAGCGGCCTGTGCCCTGCCTCACCTCATCCACTTCTCTCTGAACAGATATGATCCAAAAAGGTCGAGTTTTATGGTGCTGGTAGCACAACTCCGAAATCTGCATGCCTTCCTGATACCTCACTCTTCAAAAGTGTAAGTAAAATCGCTGGAGAACAATTCGAAGAACTTCACATTCATCTGGCAGTTCATCCAGGTGAAGACATGGGGAAAGGCATGGCAGGGCTGGTCATGCCTTCATGAGCTCTAGACAGAGACGAAGAGGGGGTGATGCGGGCCCACCCCCTCCTTTGGTTTTATGAACGGGGCAGTGAGGTGGGGGTTTAAGGGGGTGGCTCCATCACCCCAGGAGCCTGCCTCCCAGCGCTGAGGTTCGGGGCCCCCATCAGCAGTGTTCAGGGATGACTGGCTGATGATTCTATCGGTGACTCCTCCCTCCTAATCGAAGGCAAAAGGAGAAGGAGGAGGCAGAGGAGATGCCTCCTCTGAGATGTTTAGATGGCATTGCTGACTCAGTGGACATGAGTTTGAGCAAACCCTGGGAGATGGCAGAGGACAGGGGAGCCTGGCGCGCTGCAGTCCGTGGGGTCACAAGGAGTCGGACACGACTCAGCCACTGGATGACGACAGGAAGGCAGAGAAAGACGATTTCTCCTGCTGCATTTCCAGCCTTAACGGCTGCGGCCCGGGGTCCACTAGGGTTTTCATGCTGAGTCCCCGTAATCAGTGTCGATATGAAATACAGAAATAATACGGCCTTCCTCAGTTCTTCATGTGAATTTATAGTTTTTATGATCGGAGAAGGATGCTCTTTAGAATGTGAATTAGAAGGCCTGGAAATGGGGCAGTGGGGAGGGATATTTAATGGGTATTCTCTTCAGGGAATTTAACAGAAGATACCTCCTGCTGTTTGTAGGAACTGTGGGTCCTCATGTAATATGTGCTGAGAAAACTCACTTGAATGTGGTGGTAGATGGTACCTGTATTTGTCAGACTCTTCCTCTGAATTTGACAAAGCATGAAACTGTTTATCATATCTGAGACTTCTGAGATGCTAGGTAGTGATTTTTTGAACTGTTAGAGATTCACCCTCTTAAATTGTCATAGCTGTATGCTCCTTAGCGTTTCTTTCCCTCTGGAAGGACAAGGCGTCCCATCCCTAGGGAATGAGCATCAGCATTTCTTGTCTAATGAGGATGAATGTTCTTTGGGACACAGTCACCCGTGTCTACTTGGGTTCCCACGTCCAGATGGTGGCCACTGTGGCACCGGCCAGACGCGGGCAGGCAGGATTAAATCCATCCGCTCCTGGGTCTTCGTCCCCCTCACTTCCCTACTCAGGGCCCTTGCTGTAGCCTCAGGGCGGGGGGCAGGCTCGGCCTGGCATGGTCCAGGACGCCAGGGGCACCGGCATGTTAGGAACAGAGCCTCCGAGCCCCCAAGCATGACGACGATGACCATAGTGGCCACGAGCCTGGGGTTGGCGATAAAGTCAGTGTCCCCTGCGCTCCTCCCCCGGGAGGATCGTTTCAGACACCAGCTGCGAAGCCAGGATCGCTGAACCCGTGAGTCCATTTCATCCTTGCCCTTTGCAGGTATTTCCGGGTTGCCCTGCTTCCCTCCTCAAGTGACGTCAGCTGCCTGTTTCGAACGAAAGTGCACCCAGCTGCGGAGTCCCTGCTCTTCAATGATGTGTTCAGGGTGGCCGTCTCCCAGACGGCCCTGCAGCAGAAGACCCTGAGGGTGGACCTGTGCTCCGTCGGGAAGCCCCGCAGGGAGGAGTGCCTGGTAGGACCTCTCGCCTCGGCCTTCGGATGACACCCCTGGATGTGCTGAGAGTCCCTTTCCAGTGGCCATTCCGCCAGCCCCAAACTACTGCCTGTCTGCCCAGTGCCTCCGACACAGCCCAGCGGTGGCTTCATTTCTGCCACCATTTCTGAAGTCTTGATTTCTGCTTTCCGTTCTCTTTATTTCAGACCTTTCAGATTTGCTTAGCAATTATGATCCTCTGAAAAATCGAGTTCTTTATTTCTAACCTTTGGATAAAGAACTTTGGCCTCTGTTAGGCCCATCACTGTAGAGTATGCTTATTTATTCCCAATATGAGCCCGATGCTGGGCACTTTACATACATTATCTCACTTCAAATGGGTATTCTCTTCTGGGAATTTAACAGAAGATACCTCCTGCTGTTTGTAGGAACTGTGGGTCCTCATGTAATATGTGCTGAGAAAACTCACTTGAATGTGGTGGTAGATGGTACCTGTATTTGTCAGACTCTTCCTCTGAATTTGACAAAGCATGAAACTGTTTATCATATCTGAGACTTCTGAGATGCTAGGTAGTGATTTTTTGAACTGTTAGAGATTCACCCTCTTAAATTGTCATAGCTGTATGCTCCTTAGCGTTTCTTTCCCTCTGGAAGGACAAGGCGTCCCATCCCTAGGGAATGAGCATCAGCATTTCTTGTCTAATGAGGATGAATGTTCTTTGGGACACAGTCACCCGTGTCTACTTGGGTTCCCAGGTCCAGATGGTGGCCACTGTGGCACCGGCCAGATGCGGGCAGGCAGGATTAAATCCATCCGCTCCTGGGTCTTCGTCCCCCTCACTTCCCTACCCAGGGCCTTTGCTGTAGCCTCAGGGCGGGGGGCAGGCTTGGCCTGGCATGGTCCAGGACGCCAGGGGCACCGGCATGTTAGGAACAGAGCCTCCGAGCCCCCGAGCATGACGACGATGACCATAGTGGCCGCGAGCCTGGGGTTGGCGATGAAGTTGGTGTCCCCTGCGCTCCTCCCCCGGGAGGATCGTTTCAGACACCAGCTGCGAAGCCAGGATCGCTGAACCCGTGAGTCCATTTCATCCTTGCCCTTTGCAGGTATTTCCGGGTTGCCCTGCTTCCCTCCTCAAGTGACGTCAGCTGCCTGTTTCGAACGAAAGTGCACCCAGCTGCGGAGTCCCTGCTCTTCAATGATGTGTTCAGGGTGGCCGTCTCCCAGACGGCCCTGCAGCAGAAGACCCTGAGGGTGGACCTGTGCTCCGTCGGGAAGCCCCGCAGGGAGGAGTGCCTGGTAGGACCTCTCGTCTCGGCCTTCGGATGACACCCCTGGATGTGCTGAGAGTCCCTTTCCAGTGGCCATTCCGCCAGCCCCAAACTACTGCCTGTCTGCCCAGTGTCTCCGACACAGCCCAGCGGTGGCTTCATTTCTGCCACCATTTCTGAAGTCTTGATTTCTGCTTTCCGTTCTCTTTATTTTAGACCTTTCAGATTTGCTTAGCAATTATGATCCTCTGAAGAATCGAGTTCTTTATTTCTAACCTTTGGATAAAGAACTTTGGCCTCTGTTAGGCCCATCACTGTAGAGTATGCTTATTTATTCCCAATATGAGCCCGATGCTGGGCACTTCACATACATTATCTCACTTCGTCCCCTCAACAGTCTTAGGAAAAAGGTATGATAACATTTACAGATGAGGAACTCCTTAGAGTGGCCGTGTGTTCAAGGTCACACAGCTCGTGAATATGGATAGATATCAAAAGGACATCCCACCCCTAGTTCACTGTTCAAATTTAATTTAAGCAGGACACTGAATAAAGTTCCTTACTTCAGTATGTTCTCCCAGCGATGGGGTTAGGGCTTGTTGGAAGGCCAGTGTGACTGCTTAGAGCAGTAGGATACTTGCATACCAACACAGAAGACTTCATACGTCACTAATAGCGGGTTGAACCCACCGTCGTGTACAATGACCAGAACATCGTTACATCCCAGTAGAGTTGCAGATGCAGGTGTCTAGAGGTGTGCCCAGGTGTTCAGGAAGCCCTGCGGTCTCCAGTTGAAACCCACATAGTTCAAGGGTCAGCTGTAACCCCAGTCTAAAAACCAACCTTGGAATTCTTTCAAAGTCTACTTATACACAGAATGTTTTTTTTTTTTCCTACTAAATTTGTGCCATAATGCTACATAATCTGTGGTTGGTTGAATCTGAGGCTGTGGAACCTTGAATATGGGGGCCAACTGTAAAGTTAGACATGGATTTTCAATGGCAGAGTGGAGGGTGCTGTCTGCCCCCCTCACCCTCGTGGGGTTCAAGAATCAACTGTATTTCTTTTTTTTTACATTTCTTACTTAATCACACCTGAAAATATAAGACATCTCCAGGTTTAAAAGAAAGAAGTTCACCAGTGCTTTGTATCATGGGTATCGCATCTTTTTTTCTCTCTAAAACAAGCTTGCCCAGTAATCTTCATTATATTGGAGCAAATATGAATTGAAGCATTTCATTTTCTCTTTTTTTTTTTTTTTTCCTTTTTTCCTTTCCTTTCACACAGGCGGGAACTCAGATCAGCCTGGCGGACCTACCCTTTTCCAATGAGATTTTCACTCTGTGGTATAACTTGCTTCCTTCAAAGCAAATTCCCTGCAAGAAGAACGAAGAGGATACTGAGGACTCGGTATTTCAACCAAGCCAGCCGCTCGTGGATTCCGTAGACTTGGTGAGTCAAGGCTTACTGAGACACTTAGCTCTTCAGTCCATCTGAAATTAATCTTTGTGTAGGCTCTGAGATAGAGGTCAGGGTCGTTTCTTTTCTTTATCCATGCGATAGCCAGTTGACCTTGGATTATTTGTTGAAAATACATCTTTCCTAACTGCACTGCACTGTCAGCTTTTATCCTAAGTCAGATGACTTCTGCGTGTGTTAGCCTGTCCCTGAACTTTCTATTCTGTTCTGTCCACTTAGTTGTCTATCTCTGTCTACAATACTAGGCTTTTTCAAAGTGAAGGCTTTCAAGAATTCATCATTTAGAATGATTTTTTTCTGAGGCTATTTATAGATAATTGCTATCAGATTAAGGAAGTTTCCTTCTCTTTCTAGTTTGCTAAGGGTTTTATTGTGTGTGGATATTGGATTTTATCAAGCATTTTTACTGTATCTCCTAAGATGATTACATGGCTGTTTTCTTTTATTCTCTCAATGTAGTGGATTATACATTGATTGACTTCTGAATGCTAAGTCTGTTTCAGATTCCTGGAATAAAGCAGACTGAATTGTGGTGTATCTAATGCATGTTTTTGCATATATTCTATCATAAAGAATATTGAGACTTGCTTTATGGCTTAGCATGTGTTCAGTTTTAGTATAAGTTCCATGTACTCTTGTAAAGGATGTATTTTCTGCAGGTCACTTTGTTAGTTTTGCTTTTCAAATCTTCTGCATTTACTGATTTTTCAATTTGCTTATTTTATCACTGTTTAAAGGTACAGTAAAATGTCTAACTTGTGATTATAGATGACTGTTTCTTCTTTCAGTTCTGTTACTCTTTGCTTTATGTATTTTGCATCCAGGTTATTAGATGAATATAAATTTAGCATCGTATTGTATCTTTCTGTTCAACTGACCCCTTTTATCATCATAAAATATCCCTCTTTATTGCTAATAACACTCTCTGATATTAATAAATGTATATCAGGTTTTTTTTTTGGTTAGCATTTGCATGGTTTATCTTTTATTATTCTTTTACTTTCAACCTTTCTGTGTTCTTATATTTAAAGTGTTTCACTCATAAGCACTACTTAGTTGGTTTTGATGTCTTATCTAGTTTTAAAATCTTCTTTTAATCGAAATATTTATTTACACTTAATGCTGTTATTGATATATTTGGCTTTGAACCTTTCATCTTACTCTTTGTTCCCTCTTAGTCCTTTTTTTCCCCTTCTTTTAGATTAACCAAGTATTTTTAAGCTTAGATTTTTCTTTCTATCAGATCATTAATTAGTACTACAGTCTTTTCTTTTTTGCTGTTTCCCTGAGGATTACAGCACGCATCCTTGACTTATTAGAAACTTTGTTAAATTAATGCTTTTTGCTTTTTCGCAGATGGTACAAAGATAACCGCTTTTCTTTTACTTCATGATTCTCTTTCCTCCTCCTGTGCAATTACTGGATATATTTTAGTTACATTTATCTTAAATCCTGCAACACATTATTGTCATTGTTTTATTGACAATCAGCATTTATTCAGGTTTCCCTATGCCTTTTAGCCTTTCTTTTCCTTTCTGCATTTTTGTGCTTCCAATTCAGGGCATTCTCCTTCTGCCTGGAGAATTTCCTTTAGTGTTTTAGCACAGGTCTTTTGGCATATTCTTTCAATTTCGTTTGTGAAGGACTCTTTTTCCTGCATATTCAGAATTCTAAGTGAGTGGTTATTTCTCTGGACACATTGAAAACAATGTTTTGTTGTCCTCTGGCTTTCATTGATTCTGTTCAGCCGCTGGAGGACAGGCTAACTGTTGATCCTTGAAAGGTATTACTCCTTTTTTCTTCCACTGCTTGTAAAATTTCCTCTTTTTCTTTGGTTTTCAGCAGTTTCACTCAGATGTGCTCATGTGTATTTCTGTTTATTCTCATTCAGTTCTCCATTGTTTCATCTGTTTTCTTGAGCATGTTAATTACAAAACTTTTACTTTCTTCTCTAAATAACTGTAGTATATGGATCACCTACGGGTCTGTTTCTTTTGCTGGTCATTCTTGGATTTCAGTCGTGGGGTCCTGTTTCCAGCGGGGTGCTGGGTGTTATGTATGGAGTGCAGCGGATCTGACGGGTAGCTTCCTCCAGAGATGATTCAGTATCCTTCTGGAAGGCAGGTGACAACATGGGCAGCTTACCTGGATCACTTGAGGGACCTGAATTCCAGTTGTTCTCTTCCTAGGAAGAGAGTTGCCATGAAGCACCTGAAATATCTGCTTACCGTTCAGCCTCCTAGCAGCTGGTTACTTTCTCAGCTTCTCACTCTGCACGTATGCGGCTTGGCGGGGGCAAAGGTCTCGATAGGAATATTGTACAGAATATCGGGCCCACTTCACAGTTTACTTTCCCTGACCCTTCATAGGAGGACTCCCTTGTCCTCAACTCTCTTCCCAGCCTCCCATCACTGCCACAGTCCCGGGCGGCCACAGCCCATCACCTTGTGCCTCACCACGGCATCAAGACACACCCCCAAGAAGAAGCGTGGCGTTCCATTTCCTTACACTCCCCTCCTCCCTGGGATCTTCGCCCTTGAGTCCTAGCTGCCTTCGTTGCTCTTCATTGCTTTGAAACAACTGGAGTTTTTTGCTTTTCCTTTTATTGTATTCAGCTTTCATATTTGTTCTAAGCGAGAGAAGTGAGTCTCATACTTCCTTCTCCTCCACAACTAGAAGCCTAAGTCCCCATCTGATAAGTTCTTAAGTCATTTCTGAAGTTTACGGTGTTAATTGCCCTATGTTGTACCTTCTCCAGGATGCAGTGTCAGCCTTACTTGCAAGAACATCAGCGGAGCTGTTGGCCGTGGAACAAGAGTTAGCACAAGAAGAAGAACCAGGGAAGGAAGAAGAGCACAGAGGTCCAGATGGAGATTGGTAAATGAGAGTTATTTCATTCTGCTCCTGGGATCTCAAAGAGGGTGTGTTTAGTTTCTCAGAAGACACTTTGAGGGACACCTTCATGGGTTTAGATCTTGTTCTGGAATTAATGGAAAGTAACACAGCTTCAGGGAGTGGCCCCAGGAAAAGCCGCCCCTTGGTGTTAGAGAGTTGAAAAAGTAATGGTGAGATTGTGGGCAAAGTTACTAACATGTGAGCAAGACTCTCTGTTCTTACCTCCGTAACTTTGACACACTTCCTGAGCTTTTCTTGTTGGTTTGTTTAAAGTCTAAATTATTTTGAAAGAGATGACAGTTTATTACAGAGTCACAGATAAATTTAAAAGCAGACTCTTTCTGTAAACTACTGAAAGTGCCATGTAGGCTCTGGTTGTTCAAAATAGGTTTTTAGAAAAGCAGCTTCTGAGTGGTTGCTTTTCTATTTCTTGCCACGTCTCACCTTCTTTTACTGCTCCCTCATTTTTCATACCTCAGTTTTTTTTTTTAAAGAAAAAAAAGATTATAGCCTTTGTCTAGATTCATACACATATAAAGAACTGTGTTTCCAGGTTTGCATTGTTTTCTCTAAAAACATATTTTAGTGAAGGTCAGGTTTTTTAGTACATATGTAAAATCATTTGGACTAATCTTGTATGTATTGTTACACTGTTATGTTTGAACTACTGTTGACATATATTTGCATATACATAGATATATAGCAGCATTTGTGGGTATGTGTGTGTATATACAAGACTTTTTACAAACTTGGAGTAACAAGATATGAATAACAAAATTGTGGACATTTGGAAGAAGCAGCTTACTACAGTGACATAAAAAGGTACAGAGATACCTTGTTCTTATCAAAAGTCCTCTATAGTGAATAAAAATCAGAGCACTGCAAAAAAAGTTAAGTATGAGTGATGACGAGGTTCATCATATCTTTAAATACCTTGCATATATAAAGTACAACTTGTTTCACAGACATTTCAAAAAATACACTTAGAGGGTCTTCCCTGGGGGTCCAGTGGCTGACACTCCATGCTCCCAACGCAGGGAGCTTAGATTCGACCCTTGGTCAGAGAGCTAGATTCCACACGCTGCAGCTGAAGGTCCTGCACGCCGCAACGAAGATCAAAAATCCCACGTGCCACAACTGAAACCGGGCGCAGCCAAATAAGTAAATATTTTTAAAAACACACTTAGAATGTAACCTAAGGGGATTGATGACTTACAGTTCTCATTGCTAGTTCCCGCATAAGTGTTTAACAACCAGTCTGTTCCAGTTTGTCAGTATGTCACTAATCACAATTAAAGCTTGACCTTTAGTTATTGGTAGAAAAAGTGCTCCCATTCCAAGAACATGAAACTCAACGAAGAATGAGATATTTTTCCCCACCCGGAGACTCTTGCTTTCCTGTCAAATCAGTTTATACAGAATATGAACCATTATTTGTTTTCTGGAGCCTGACTTGTAGTGCCACCCAAGCCCAGGTCGTGGCTTTTGTTAAAGACAAGATCACAGACCACTCAGAGCCTTCTGTTATCCCAGCAGTAAGACTCTGCTATCCAGGGTTCCACCCTTGCTACACCATGAGCACAGTTGATAGTGGATATTTTTATTCACTCTGAGCAGAGTTGCTCTATTCTGTGGCTTGATATATTGTGTAATAAATGAACAACTGACACCAAGTCATAGTATCAGTTCAGTTCAGTTCAGTCGCTCAGTCATGTCCGACTCCTTGCGACCCCATGAACCACAGCACACCAGGCCTCCCTGTCCATCACCAACTGTCGGAGTCCACCCAAACCCATGTCCATCGAGTCAGTGATGCCATCCAACCATCTCATCCTCTGTCGTCCCCTTCTCCTCCTGCCCTCAATCTTTCCCAGCATCAGGGTCTTTTCCAATGAGTCAGCTCTTTGCATCAGGTGGCCAAAGTATTGGAGTTTCAGCTTCAACATCAGTCCTTCCAATGAACACCCAGGACTGATTTCCTTTAGGATGGACTGGTTGGATCTCCTTGCAGTCCAAGGGACTCTCAAGAGTCTTCTCCAACACCACAGTTCAAAAGCATCAATTCTTCAGCATTCAGCTTTCTTTATAGTGCAACTCTCACATCCATACATGACTACTGGAAAAACAGTTATATTATAGTGAGTGTCAATATTTTTAAATGGTGGGTTAAACTTTTTATGTGATATTTTAGTATATTTATGTTTAAGAATTAGATCAAGTTTCATGAATTTCACTTTTTGGTACGAAGTTATGGTGATTTTGCTGCAGATTGCTAGAATGTAAAATGATGACTTTATTTTTCATGAGCATTTTAGTAAAAGTTCCAGCCAGAGAACTGGCTTGCATCATGATGTGCAAGTCTGTTCGTGGCTGATCACAGAGCTCACCTGCTTGACCCTGAACGGGGTTGTGTTCTGTTTCACCCATAGGTTGGCCATGCTGAGAGAGGCCTCAGATGAAGTTGTGGCCGAGGAAGGGGACAAAGTGAAATTGGCGGAGGGCAGTCGCTGTGCAGAAGATGTAAGCCCACGCCCACGTGTGCCCGAGATGGACAAGGACACAAGTAGGAAAGAAAGCAGCTGTGCCAATGACCTTGGGAGTCAGCCCCCCACAGGGACACCGGCCCTGGTGAGCCTTGTCAGCTGTCCCCTGCTAAAGTGGTCTCCTAGAGGCACCGCGGAGTCCGAGCTTGTCTCTTTGTGCATAATTCACTTTAGGATTTTTGTGCCGAAGCTGATCAAGATGAGTGATTGTAGGAACAGACCATAAAAAGCCTTATAAATGCCGTAACATTTTCAAGTGGGCCCCAAATATTCATCCTCCACTTAAATTTCATAAAAGAAGATAAACAGTGCTGTTTAGCTCTCTGTGAGTGTTCTGTGAATATTTACTGAAAGCATTTGCAGGATTTCCTGGAAGACTCCAGGATGCCTGCTTAATTGTTTTACGTTTCATAGATGTTATAAGTCTGTTTCAGTCTCAAACGTGAGGTGAGCGTGTGAAGCCCGTTTTGGTTAGATGGGGTTCTGACCGAAACCAGTCCTGGAAGGGGCAGGTGCCCTGGTTGAGGTGCGGGTGCCAGGCCGGTTAGCCAGGTGGTTTTGCTGGTCAGTGAGAGATGTGGGGGCCTCCACGGTGCTGGCGCAGTGGTAAAGAATCCGCCTGCAACGCAGGAGATGAGGGTTCGATCCTGGGTCCTCCCACGGACAAAGGAGCCTGGCGGACTGCAGTCCATGGGGTCACCAGGAGTCAAACACAACTTAGTGACAGAACAAACAGACATGTTGAGGCTACCAGACTACCATCTCCAAAGGGAGGAATCCATTTTCAAGGTTTGAGGATGCCAACAAATGTGGGAGTTTTAAAAATTCCAATTTATTTCTGATTAAAAACAGTGCTACAGCCTAACGGAAAACTTCATGTGTATTTGTACATTCAACCCTCTGTGTCCATGGTTTCTGCATACGTGGATTCAACCAACCATGGATCTGACTCAGCGACCCATAGATAGTAACTGTGGTCCACAAGTGGCTGACCGTGATGATGGGGAACCCCAGATGGGGAGGTCAGCTGTGGGACCTGAGCGTCCACGGAGCTCAGTGTCCTGGAACCCCACCCCTACGGAGACCCATGGTGGCTGTATATATAATTGTGTATTCTATGCAAACCAGAGGTTTAACTAGTGTATTTCCATCTTTCTATGTTTAACTACTTTCATCATTTATTCAGCAAAAAAACTAACCATAAGGTTGAATAATGTTTAATGATGAAGCATTCTCAAATCGGACTCTTTGCTGAAGCACATTTACCCCTCTGTAAACTAAGGCTTCATTATTTTAGGGCTAACCTGTTAGAGGGAGGCCCCGCCATTCCATTTATGGGTGACATTGTTGGAGAAATACGATCCTGTGCACTGAGGGTGACTTCCTAGAAGCTAATAGAAAACCGCCTTCGTGTCTGGAGAAAGGCCCTGGTGCTCCATGCGTCTCTTATAAGATCAGCTGTTCCTTCCACACTCGGGAGAGGAGCACCCCGTGCTCCCATCTCGCCACCCCTGACAGGTCGCCGACCTCTCTTCCAGGTTGATAAAGAGACAAATACCGACGAGGCCGGTGGTACCAGCTTGGCCGTGCGCCCCAAAGACCGCAGCAGCCTCAGCTCACGCCAGCACACCTTCGTGAGGAGCAGCGTGATCGTGCGCTCGCAGACCTTCTCCCCCGGGGAGCGGAGCCAGTACGTGTGCAGGGTAAGGCTCTGCGGGGTCAGGGTCCTAGGGGTCAGGAGTCTGTGGGGTCAGGGGCCTCAGGGGTCTGCAGGGTAAGGGGTCTTCGAGATCAGGGGTCTGCGGGGTGACAGCTCACATAGTTTCTGGGGAGCTGCCATATCCACCCCCTGCCCCCAGGGGTGGCCTATCAGTGACACTAGACTGGACCATGGGCATCTTCAAACTCGACTGCAAATACTAATGACTAGAAATGCCAGGAAATATACATAAAGTATCACACGCCCAGTCATTCTTTTTAGTTTGGATTGTGGGATTTTTTCCTTTCCTTCCTTTTCCCACATTTACTATCTCTTCGCTTCTAATGCCTTTGATCTGAACCCTCTGTGTCCATGGTTTCTGCATACGTGGATTCAACCAACCATGGATCTGACTCAGCGACCCATAGATAGTAACTGTGGTCCACAAGTGGCTGACCGTGATGATGGGGAACCCCAGATGGGGAGGTCAGCTGTGGGACCTGAGCGTCCACGGAGCTCAGTGTCCTGGAACCCCACCCCTACGGAGACCCATGGTGGCTGTATATATAATTGTGTATTCTATGCAAACCAGAGGTTTAACTAGTGTATTTCCATCTTTCTATGTTTAACTACTTTCATCATTTATTCAGCAAAAAAACTAACCATAAGGTTGAATAATGTTTAATGATGAAGCATTCTCAAATCGGACTCTTTGCTGAAGCACATTTACCCCTCTGTAAACTAAGGCTTCATTATTTTAGGGCTAACCTGTTAGAGGGAGGCCCCGCCATTCCATTTATGGGTGACATTGTTGGAGAAATACGATCCTGTGCACTGAGGGTGACTTCCTAGAAGCTAATAGAAAACCGCCTTCGTGTCTGGAGAAAGGCCCTGGTGCTCCATGCGTCTCTTATAAGATCAGCTGTTCCTTCCACACTCGGGAGAGGAGCACCCCGTGCTCCCATCTCGCCACCCCTGACAGGTCGCCGACCTCTCTTCCAGGTTGATAAAGAGACAAATACCGACGAGGCCGGTGGTACCAGCTTGGCCGTGCGCCCCAAAGACCGCAGCAGCCTCAGCTCACGCCAGCACACCTTCGTGAGGAGCAGCGTGATCGTGCGCTCTCAGACCTTCTCCCCCGGGGAGCGGAGCCAGTACGTGTGCAGGGTAAGGCTCTGCGGGGTCAGGGTCCTAGGGGTCAGGAGTCTGTGGGGTCAGGGGCCTCAGGGGTCTGCAGGGTAAGGGGTCTTCGAGGTCAGGGGTCTGCGGGGTGACAGCTCACATAGTTTCTGGGGAGCTGCCACATCCACCCCCTGCCCCCAGGGGTGGCCTATCAGTGAAACTAGACTGGACCATGGGCATCTTCAAACTCGACTGCAAATACTAATAACTAGAAATGCCAGGAAATATACATAAAGTATCACACGCCCAGTCATTCTTTTTAGTTTGGATTGTGGGATTTTTTCCTTTCCTTCCTTTTCCCACATTTACTATCTCTTCGCTTCTAATGCCTTTGATCTGGCAAATAACTGACGTTAAGGGTCTGGCCATTCAGTCTGTCTGGACCCCAGTGTGTATTCAAAACCTTCAGTGACTCGAGAGTTATGGTGGCCGGTGTATTTCAGCAGTGTATCATGCCTGCTTCAAACCACATTGGTCCCGCAGAATTAAAAATAGTGAATTGCGTTCCAGAACAAAAATCGCCTTCATTGATGCCTCCAAACAGAGTCATAGTTCTGTGGAGAGTATTGTGTGATATATATCAGTTTATCACATTCTAGTTCCATAAGTACTTGATTTATAGTAATTTAGATATGACATTACAAAGTAGGTTAGAAAATACTTTCAAAATTCTAAATTTATTCATTCAGTTCAACAAGCATTTTTATTAAGCACCTGCTATTTATTAAGCATATTTTCAGATACTTGGGATTCATCCATGGATCAAAGACCCAGAGCTCTGCCCTTACAAGGCTTCCGTTCTTGTGAGTTGAGCCAAACAATAAACATGATGAATAACCTGTGACATCTCTGGGTGAGGCCCAGCGCTATGGAAAACCATAGAGCAAGTTAAGAAGGGTTGGGATGTTGAGGATGAGGGTCGCCAAGTGAAATAGGGTTGAGAACAGACATCCCTGGAAGGAGACGTTTCGGCAAAGACCTGAAGCAAGTGAGGCAGTAGGGATGGCCCCCCGTGTGAGGGTGTCCTTGATTGTACCCACTGTGACTTCACTCCGATCCTGCGATCTGTGCTTCACACAAACTTTTCTTTTAAAGAATGGATAATGCATATTAGCTAAAGATTCAAAGGATAATTTTATTTCAAAATGTATGTAATTATCTTAACACATAACTTCTTGTAAGTAAAATCAAAAGGCAATTAAGAAAATTATGTTATCTAAGAAAAGCATCAAATAGGGAAAAACTCATTTGAAGAGGATTTTCTTAAAGAAATAAACTGTGGAGAAGGAAATAGCAACCCATTCCAGTATTCTTGCCTGGAGAATCCTACGGACAGAGGAGCCTGGCGGGCTACAGTCCATGGGGTCGCAGAGTCGAACACAACTGAAGCGACTTAGCACACACAGGTGATGTCATTGATCCTCAGAACAGACCTTGAGTTGCAAGGGCATGACCCTCTTGTTAAAAGAGAAAAAAAAGACAAACTAGTAACTATCTTCTCTCATGATCAAGTTCTCAATTCCAGACTTCTTCTAGCACAGGGTGATGCACTGATTTCTTTCTCTTTTTTTTTTTGTTGCCAGTTAAATCGAAGTGACAGTGACAGTTCAACACTGGCTAAAAAATCGCTATTTGTGAGGAACTCCACCGAACGGCGAAGTTTGAGAGTCAAGAGGGTATGTAGTCCATCGGCAGCATCCCGAGGTCCCGGACCACCCCAAGTTGGGCGTGTCAGATGCAGAACCCCAGGGCCTCGGGGCGTCCTTGCTCCGTGCTCCTGGGCTGTGGGTTGAAGCCACTGTAATCATGGAGACACAAACATCGTGTCTGTTCCGGAGAAGGATGTGCTAGAGACCGCCCATTCATTGCTAGGGTGGAATCTGTGATCGCGAAGGATAGATTCAGTTTGAAGCGTGGACGGAGAAAAGGCTGCTGGGGGTTGGAGGCATCTCGGCTGCCAGTCCCTGGCTCTGGAGCAGCTGTGGGGAGAATATAACACCTGGTACCTTGTGTGAGAGGCAGACGTCCGGGTTAAGGAGCAGATGGTTTCAGCAGCTTGCTTAGAAAACAGATCTTCTCAGAAGGCTAAGATCAATGTAGATGGAAAAGCTCAAGTCAGGTTTTCCTGGAAGCCAGAGATCTGTGGATAAGAGTACAAGGGCAGCTCTGGGCGAATATTTAAATAAATTAACATGGTTGGAGTGTTCAGAAATTCCTGTTCACTTACCAGCAGCTGAGATGCTAATGGAACGTTTTCGGTAGCTAATCTTTTGTGCTAATTTCTGAAGCTGCCTTGTATCAGCTTAGTCTTGCTCAGTGGGAATGCGGCCCTGTGTGAGCTAAGCTCTGCAGTGATGGGCAGGGCTTCCCGCCTGCAGGAGACCCTCCCAGGGTGGTCGGGCGACCCCGGGGCAGAGAGAAGAGGGCAGTGGGCTCACCTTGTCGGGAGAACCAGAAAGCCTTCATGGGGAAGGTCTCTGGCCCTCATACAACAATCTCAAAAGAAGGTGGTAGCTTTGTTGGGGGAACAGAGTGGGATGCTGGGCGCTGTCGGAAGGTGGCCCGACATGGCACAGGGCCTGGGAACACATTCAGAGAAGGAGTGACCCTGCTTGGCCAGAGCTTGGGCCCAGTGGGCCAGAGTGAAGACTGGAGGGCATGGTGAATCATTTGTCTTCACCAGCGACCCGTTTAATGCCTCTGGGCAAAGTGCTGGACGTGTGACTGGGCAGCATTGAGCTTCCTGATTTATTTAGCTTCCTAGTTACTTGACGGACATAAGCACATTTCTTTTTTTCCAAAGGTAAATATGCAAGCATTTATTTAACCTCAGCATTTTCAGGACATTGTCAAGTGTAGCTGTTTCAGGTTACCTAACTTTATGCTTTAAAAGCACCTCAATTTCCATCAACTTGAATGAAAATTCTTTTCCAGTCCTTCCTAAGTCCCCTGCACTTTTTTTAAAAAGCTTTTTTATTTTGTATTGGGGTATAGCCAGTTAACAATGTTGTGGTAGTTTGAGGTGAACTATGGAGGGACTCATGTATATACATGCATCCATTCTCCTCCAAACTCCCCTCCCATCCAGACTGCCACATAACACTGGGCAGAGGCCCCTTTGCTAAACAAGAGGTCCTCGTTGGTTTTCCATTTCAAATATCAGGCAACCATGAGTTCATTCTCTAAGTCTGTGAGTCCTTCTGTTCTGTAAGCTCATTTGTATCATTTCTTTTTAGAATCCACATACAAGGGACGTCATAACGGTCTATTTTCTTCACTGCCTGACTTACTTCACGCAGTATGACAATGTCTAGGTCCATCCATGTTGCTTCAAATGGCATGTTTCATTCTTTTTAACGGCTGAGTAATATTCCACTGTAATAAATGAGCCACATCTTCAGCCATTCCTCTGCCCACGGACATTTAGGTTGCTAATGTCTCAGCTACTGTAATCAGTGCCGCAATGAACATTAGGGTGCGTATCCTTTCAGATCCTGTTTTTCTCCAGATATATGCCCAGGAGTGGGATTGCAAGGCCCCTGCACTTTTAAAAACACATACTTTTAGAGAATGATAACAGTCTTCAGAAAACTTTTAACCAGAAGTGTCTTATGAATTGAGTGAAGCTGAAAAACAGTGAGGTTACTGATAAACCTTAGTTCCTAGAACTTCTTGGACCGGACAAAGGTTAATCCTGAAACAGCATTCAGGAGTTCCTTGTTAACGGCTTTAAAGTGAGCAGGTGGAGTCTGGTAGAGGCGAATGAGGAAGAGTGTTCTGATGTAGGAGTTACAGCCCGAGGCGTGAAGGGAGCCGGAGGGAGCGGGGCGGGCGTCCTGGCTGGGAGGGCGGGGGCCCCACGTGAGGCACGAAGTTGGGGGGCCCGTCAGCACACCCCTGCCCCACTCAGCAGCGCCACGCTGACAGCCTGAGAGCCAGCGCGGCAGGGTCATGGGCACCAGGGAGATGGGCAGAGCTTACACACAGGCACGCCCTCGGTTACACACTCACCAGCAGGCTGTGCACACGGGATTCTTAGAAAGCATGTGCCCAACAGCTGGAAAGGGTTTCTGATCTTGAAACAGTGAGTCATGCAGTCACAGAAGGTGTGTGTCTAGATGATTCTGCTGTTTGTTAGAGTGGAGGTTGAATAAAGGGAAAGCTAATAAGATGCTGAAGCTCCAGTACTCTGGCCACCTGATTCGATGAGCAGACTCATTAGAAAAGACCCTGATGCTGGGAAAGATAAAAGGCAGGAGGACAACGGGATGACAGAGGATGAGATGGTTGGATGGCATCACCAACTCAATGGACATGAATCTGAGCAAACTCTGAGAGGTAGAGAAGGACTGGGAAGCCTGGTGTGCTGCCGTCCATGGGGTCACAGAGTCAGACAACGCTGAGCAGCAACAGTAGTAAGAACAGCAGAGAACGTTCCAGCAGGATCCACTGGGCGGAGAACAGGAATCGGAGGAGACAATGAGCGCTATTCAGGTCTGGGCGATGTCCCTGAAACGAGAAGAGGGACGGACAGACCTCTCCCTCCCATCTGTCATGAGCGCTGTTGTCATGCCAGCCCTCCCAGCTGGGATACCTGTCAACCCTGAGTCCTTCTCTCTTGTATCAGGTAGTACCCGTTTTCATGAGTAATAATCCCTTTTTTTCCATCCCCACTGCCAACAGTCTAGGCAGAAAACATCCATCTCATCTCCCTCCACGCCAGTAGTCCTGCCCACCCTGTCTGAACACCTTTCCTCGCGCAGGTGTGACCCAGCCCCGAGTATCCCTCCCTGCCTTGCCTTCCTTCCGGTGATACTGTCTCGGTTTTCTGTTGCTTACTGTCTCGTGAAAGTCACTCGTGTTCAACTTTTTGTGACCCCATGGAGTGTATAGTCCATGGAATTCTCCAGGCCAGAACACTGGAGTGGGTAGCCGTTCCCTTCTCCAGGGGATCTTCCCAACCCAGGGATCAACCCAGGTCTCCCCCATTGCAAATGGATTCTTCACCAGCTGAGCCACAAGGGGAGCCCAAGAATACTGAAGTGGGTAGTCTATCCCTTCTCCAGCGGATCTTCCCAACCCAAGAATCAAACCAGGCTCTCCTGCATTGCAGGCGGATTCTTTACCAACTGATCTATCAGGGAAGCCCTACTTCTATGGTTTTTTATTATTCACTGTCCCATATTGAGAGGGTAACAGGCAGGAAGGCCAGGGGTCTCCAAAAGCTTCCCCCAAAACTCAAGCTCTCAAGTCTGGAGTCAGTGTCTGTCCGAAGACATAGATTATGTCTCTTCAAGTAAGCTCATAAAGTAAAGTTAGTCCCATAAAGGCTTCTGTGTACCTTTTGGATCCTTTCAATAGTCTCGACCACGATTGGTACTGTTTGAACTTCTACCGAGACTGAAGCAAGCCCTCCTGGAGGGTGCCCTGACTCTCGGTCTGTTCAGTAGGGACCCCCAGATACAGGAGCAAAGTAGGAGGACAGGAGGGAGCTGAAGGTTTCACACCCAAATCTGTGCCCTTAGGACACAAGTCTGGCACGTCTTGCAGAGAGATAAAGATCAACATGTATGGCACTTCTGCCCATTTCCCTTGTTTTCTACGGAACCGGTCTAGTTGTGAAACAGTATCATAATTAAGAAACCCTTCAACAGGCCAGCGTTCCCCATCTTTCAAAGGATACCATGGCCATTCAGTGTCACAGAAGAAGATCAGCCATGTTTTTTTAAACTCTGGGAATCAAAAAAATAAATAAACTCTGGGGATAAAACTTGTCCCAGCTTATTTTTTTTAAAAATACATTTTAAAGGAGTGATTCTGGAACTGCTAGCTCCCAACTGTGAGAAAAAGCGGCATCCACGGCTGTGGCTTTTTTCAACCAGAAGCGTCCTTCCCTGCTGTAGATGGGCGTGTAGACAGACTCTCCACCAAAGCTTTCCTTCCCCGGTTCGACTTAGTCTGTCCCTTACCGACACAGGCGTCTCACTCGTCCCTCCCGGTTCTACCACCGAGGCGGGGTGGAGACGCACCAGGGGCAGACCTGATGGCATCCCAGACTGACTTAGTTCCATACCACCAAGACCTTGGTTTGATTTGCCCTCTTCTCTGAGGCCACCCAGGGTGGAGCAGAGTAGTTTTCCCAGAACGTTTGCCAAGCTAGGACTCCTGGGGGAGCATCTGTCTTTATGCGCCCGTGCACTCCTGAGTACAGTCCTGACCGCAGTAGAAGCCGAGGGTCATAAAGGGACGAACGACAACCAAGACGTCCCTTCTGAGTGTCACCACGCCAGGATATGTGACAGCAGAAGAGGTGGTGGAAGGCTGGCCAGCGAGGAAAGGGTGACTTTCGTCCTCGCGCTATTAGGGCCAGTCCTTCCAGTTCACTCCCACAGATCCCACAAAAGGAGAATCCAGGGAGTTGAGACCGAAGCTACCAGAGAGCCTCCTCTGGTCCCCGGAGAGCTGGCGCTGCCAAAGGGAAAGCCCGCTGCACTTTCAGCTGCCCAGGTCCTGCGATTCCCGATCTGTGGCCTCAGAAACCTCACTGTCAGCAGCGGTGCTTCTGTCCACATAGATAGGAGACACAGCCATGGCAAAACTCACTGTCAGGTCACTGGCCCCTGAGGCCGGCAGCCAGGAGAGCGACCTCGAGCCTGAGAGACGTTCCTGGAGCTGGAGCTCCGCCTCACTCCCAAACGTGCTCCTGTAACCTTCTGCTCCTAGCAAGGCTAGGCGCTGCCATGACTACCAAGCTTGGGGTCTAAGTAAAAGTACATAGTAATGGCATGAATCACAATCCATTGAAAGTCTGTGATCCAACAGATTATGTTAGTAGTTCTAATTCCCCACACAATTACAAAATGGTCAGAGAGACCAGGAAAAGGTGACTGAGGAAGGAAAGTTCAGTCCACACGTTTTGCCCATCTCTGGCCGTTCCCCTAGCAGGGACCTCGGGTGTCTCTTGGCATTGGCAGGTCAGTATAAACCCCCCCGATAAGGCTCCCCTTTTAGGGGCTGCCTTCAGTCATTAGGAGGCACCACGAAACCGCAGAGCAGGGCTCATCACTTGCTTCACGCAGGGCATGTCATTCATTCACACAAGCACGCCGGAGAGTTGATAAAGTGGAAAATGTGCATACTGAGAAAGCAGAGAGGCTAGAGCTCTGAGTGTGTTCTTCCCTTGTCCTGAAGATCCCAGACGAGCCCCCAAGATGATAGCAGAATGATGTCGGATTCGTGATCTCCAAAGAAGATTTAACTCCGGGACCAGGGACCAGGCTTGATCACTCAAGAGCTTATATATTGCAGAGTTTTATTAAAGTATAAAAAAAGACAGAAAGCTTCTGACATAGACATCAGAAGGGAGATGGAGAGTGCCCCTCTCCCTAATGTTAGCAAGGGAGTTACGTACTTTTTAAATTAGTTATTACAGTAAATCAAAAAATGTCTCAAGGTTATAAAGATCTTACTAGACCCACTCCCATAATTGACATTCTAAGATAACAGTATTAGCCAGAAGGTTTTCAGGAAGGAGAAACTGTCTTCAAGCAGGATACATTGTTATATAATCCTACTTGCCTGGTGGCTCAGACGGTAAAGCGTCTGCCTGCAGTGTGGGAGACCCGGGTTCGATCCCTGGGTCGGGAAGATCTCCTGGAGACGGAAATGGCAACCCACTCCAGTATTCTTGCCTGGAAAATCCCATGGACAGAGAAGCCTGGTAGGCTGCAGTCCATGGGGTCGCAAAGAGTCGGACACAACTGAGCGACTTAATTTCATTCATAGAGTTTAAACTGAGTTGTTTGTTGTGTAATCATCAGTTTCGGGCTTAAAGGAAAAACATTTGATGTGACTAAGACTAAGGAATGTGGTGGTGGGGGGGGATGTTTGTCTTTCCTCCTCCTTGAGAGTTCCAGGCCCCTCTCTCCACTCTGAGAGCCCCAGACCCCTTTCTCCTCCTCAGGGACCGCGGACTTCTTATCAACCTGCCTAGAAATTTCTCTCAACATCATCCTCTAAACCAATTCTTCGAGGTCAGAAATCACATCTCCTAGTGTTTTGCCTACAGACCCCCAGTGGATACTTATTCATACACAGCCAGTGATTATTTGTTGATAAGTGGATAAGCTTGGCCCCAGAAGGAACACAGTGACTCGGGCGAGAGTGGGTGTCAGACGATGGGAAGTGAGGAAGGAACCGGAGTCAAAGGACGTTGGTTAGAGGAGGGCGGCCGGACCCAAGCTCCGCTGAGCTGGGGGAACAGAAGTGATGGGCGAAGGCGTGCACTGTGGGGACACAGGTGCGGGCCTGACTCAGTCAGTTCCTCGCGATATGTCTGCGGTCCGCAGAGGGCAGCTCTGGGCGTAAACTGGTCAGGCTGAGCTAGGCTGCACCCTGGTAACAACTCCAGAGACGCTCTGCGGTTCAGGGCAGTACAGGCTCGTTCGCCTTGGCCGCGCGTGTTCCAAGGTGGGTGGTGCCTCGTTCCTGTCTCCCTGGGGACCGGGCCACCACCCCTTGGCCCTCAGTGGCCAACGCAGGAGCCCGGGCGCCCTCCCGTCCGGGGACCGCCGCTGCAGCGGGGCTCTCGTGTCCTGCTCTAACCCCGCAGGCGGTGTGCCAGCCGGTCCTCCGGAGGGCGGCGCCCGAGTGCCCCGTGCGGACCTCCCTGGACCTGGAGTTGGACCTGCAGGCCTCCCTGACCCGGCAGAGCCGCCTCAACGACGAGCTGCAGGCCCTGAGGGGCCTGAGGCAGAGGCTCGAGGAGCTGAAGGCCCAGGGCGAGACGGACCTGCCGCCGGGCGTGCTGGACGACGAACGCTTCCAGAAGCTCCTGAGACAGGCGGGGAAGCAGGTACGCGGCGCCCCAGAGCGTCTCCCGGCGGAAGGTGCCAGCCTGAGCCCCCGCCCCGCTCAGGTCCTCACCCCCAGCACGTCTGCTCCCGGCATGCTTCCTCCTGCCGGATGGCCGCCGTGGCATCAGGCCGTAGAGAGGAAAGAGGCACAGCACACGGCGCATCCGTGCCCTTTGGAGAAGGGTCTGACCCCCCTGAGCACAGGTGCCTTTTCATCTCTGCATTTAGCAGCTCTGTGTTCAGGCAGCTCATTGGGTCATGAGCTTTTCTTTCCCGTCTCCGAAGCTTGCTGTCCCCGGCTGGAGACTCCACTGTGCGCCTTGCATTCTGACCACGGGGGTCGGCGAGAACCACTGGCTTCTTCCCTGCTTGCTCTCCTGCTTGCAGCCCCGCGTCCACTCCTTACACACACGGGGACACCGCGGTGCACACTCCTGCCCCTTCACGTCCACCTGTCCCCTGCAGTTGGGGATGTGTGGGGTTTTCGGCACTGTGGCCGTGAAGTGCCTAGCGGTGAGCGAAGAGCCTGCCAGTTGTCATTAAAGATAAGGCTCCCGGGGAAGCCGGCGGCGGGCCCAGGTCGGCCTTCCTTGTTGGGTCACACGTGTTACCTCCCTCCTTTGTGGTGGGAAGTCTGTTTTGCAACTCAGAATAAAAAAATATTCAGAGTCAGTGTCGTCATAGGAGGCAGAGCGAGGAACCAGGACTAAATCAGCGCGGATCACGTTCCGCTCCGCCCGGCTCCTTAACATGACCCGGACTAAATCACTGGACCTCCCCGTGGGGCAGGCTCCTACCCAGTACACTGAAGGTTAATCACACTCTCCTGAAAGTACAAGTCGCTCAGTCGTGTCTGACTCTTTGCGACCCCATGGACTGTACAGTCCAGGAATTCTCCAGGCCAGAATACTACAGTGGGTAGCCTTTCTCTTCTCCAGGGGATATTCGTGACCCAGGAATCAAACCGGGGTCTCCTGTATTGCAGGCATATTCTTCACCAGCTGAGCTATGAGGGAAGCCCACCCTCTCCTGAAACCCGGGGCATAACACTGGCTTCCCAGATTTTAATTTTAAGACCCTGTGGACGTGAACACTCCTGTACAGTTTGGGGCACCTTTCTTATTTCAGTAGCATTTCCAAAGGACAAAGTCCTAGTCCTACGATTGCTGTTTGTATCAGCTTGGCTGTAAACCAGAGACCTTGTCCTGTCTCTTAAACCTAAAGATCTTATTCTTTGACTCTAATGTATATAGCTGCCTGCGTTAATAAACAGGAACCCCTCTGTTAATAAACAGAGCCCAATGCCTTCCATTGACGGGAGGGCCCATCAGCTCACTGCAGGCAGCACCATCAACAAAGCCGTTTTCCCGCCTGTCTCCTAGTGCCAACTGCCTAGCTCTGGCCTGAGCGGATCTCTCTTGTAAGACTCTGAATTTTGTCACCCATTTCCTTCGCTACCCTCGCTGCCCCCACCGTGACCAGTGGTCTCCACGAGGCAGGGCCACACTTAAATCCCGCTGCTGGAGCACCCACTTGGGAGGCCATGGGTGCCCAAGCGAGCTTGTGTCCCCAGCCCCCCGGCTCAAGTGACCCCTCCCTGCACACACACACACTCCTGCTGAGGGCCACAGCCCAGCTTGCAGCTCGTCCTCTTGGCAGCTGGAGGCTCTGTGGAAACTTAGGGGTCAGGGCTTCCCCCGCCCTCCCCTCAGGGTGTCTGCAGTCTGGTGGGTGAGAAGGGCATCACTTTGTAAAAGCTCGCTGAGCCGCACGCCCCGTGTGCACTTTTCTGGCACAGGATATCAGTTTTATATCAATAAACAACTTTTAAAGGGCGTGGGACAGAAAGAAAAGGTGAATAAGAGATTGAAAGTGTATTCACCAAAATGTTAACGGTAGATACTTCTTAAACATGGTGCTATAAGTAGTTTCTAATTTTTTTTTTTTTTAGAGGGGGTTACTAGGAATTCTAGAGGTAACAAAATGATCCCATATTGCCTGTATCAAAAGATGTTTTTTTTAATGGGTTAAAGCTCCCCCTTCCCCCGACCCAGTGGCTGCTCCCCATGGTGGGCGTGAGGTGGACTCATGGGTGTCGTCCCCTCCCCCCCAACGTGGAGAAAGCACCTGAGGCCTGCACTGCCTGGCCCCCTACTGATGTCAGGGAGCCCTGGCATCTTCTGGGCCTGAGAGCGCGCCTCGGGAGCCTCCGAGTAACATCCTGGGGACCCTGTGCTTCCGTCTCCCCACCAGGCCGAGCAGTCCAAAGAGGAGCAGAAGCAGGACCTGAACGCGGAGAAGCTGATGCGGCAGGTGTCCAAGGATGTGTGCCGGCTCCGCGAGCAGAGCCGCAAGGTGCCCCGACAGGTGCAGTCCTTCCGGTGAGCGCAGGGGGCCCGGGGGCCCTGGGACCCAGGAAGGGGCGGGGGGAGTGGACGGAGGGACGNNNNGGGACGGTGGGGGGTGGGTGGGAGCTGGGTGATGTGACTTCTGCTCTTGGATGCACCAGTCTAACCATTCCAGTAGGACAGCTCAGGGAACCACGGCCAGTAGACAGGCAGAGATAAAAATCTGGAGCCAGGATTAAGGGTCAGGTGGGAGATAAAAATGCAAGCCTGCATCCCACGTATAGGGGTTCCCCAACTGGATGTGGGTCCGACATCCTGGGACAGGTGAGAAGGTGACCAGGAGAGGAGATGGTTGGGGTGTCGGAAGGACTGGCAGAGAGCTAGAAGGGAGAGGGGCGTGGTCCTGGTCTGGGGGCACGGTGAAGGATGTCAAGCACAACAGCAAGAAGAGGATGGACATTTCCTGAACAGGAGGCCCCGTGACCAAGGACACTTTTGGGGGGTGGGGGGCGTGCACAGAAGAGGTGTGGCTTTATTAGTTGTGGGGGGGTGTGTGTGCATGTGTGGGGGGCTGTGTACATGCGTGTGTAGTGTAGAGGAGACTGTAGGAAGCTCCTGGTGGAAGGGGAGAAACCCAAGGAGCGTGTTTGATGGCAGAGGCAGGGTATGACGTGGAGGGGCTGGGGTGGAAGGGATGCGGTTTGGTGCCAAAGGGTGAAGTGGAAGGTCAGGGTCGCCTGAGGGAGTCCAGGGGTGGAGAGATGGGACGGGGGCATTGTGGGCTTAGACTCTTTTTAGTATGCTGGCCTGAAGAGTCAGCGTTTTCCTGTCTCCATTCAGCTCAGAATCACTCTTGGAACTTGCAGAGGATGCTGCTTGCAGTGGGGGTTGTGGAAGTGCAGGGTGGCGAGAGGAACCTTCTCATGCCTTTGGTGCTGTGGTCACTTTGAGAGTAAGAAACACAGCCCAGTGGGGAAGTCATCCAACCACAGCTATTACTAAACCCAAAAAAAAGTTGTAAACAGTCCCGAGTTCCTTAGCATCCAGACCCACGCACATCACCAGGCAGGTGATGCAGACAGGGGAGGTGGGCCTGGATAAGGCATCTGCCCTGGAGGCCTCCAGGCCCGGGTCCCTCCATGGCCCTGGGGACGCTCCCTGAGCTGCTATCTCACCTGGAATCGAAGGTAGAAATCAGGAATTTGATGTGACCTATCTCAAGTGGAGACCCTGACAACTAATTCGGGTGTTTAAAAAGCACTGTGTAAGCCAAAGACGTTTGTTTTTCGGGGAGTATCAAAGCAGAGGTCCCAGAATTGAGTTCTGTCTTCAGTGACGTCATGACCACTTTCACCTGCCTCTTCAACTCTTCATTTTATCTCAGGGAATTGAACAAATGGATGGGACTCTGTGCCACAAAAATAGCTCTCCTTCCAGTTTCCCTGGGGGTTTTCATGCTTCCCTCCTTCTCTCTCTCTCTCCTTAGATTTGGAGCTTCTCCCCTCAGTCCTTGCATCTTCACCCTTGTCCTCAACCATCTAATCTTTATCCCTCCTTACGGCGCCCTGCATGGGGACCCCGTCAGCAGACTGTGTTCCACGTGAAGACTTTGTAGAGGATAGACATATTGCTCCTGCCTTGGGTGGTGCTGCAACCCTAAAAGCTTATTTCTTTAACACTCTGCTGACCTCTGAAGACCATCCCACCCCCTTGTTTCTCGTTTTGTGCCTCTGAGGTTGTTTGCACCATACTCACCCCCACCCAAATCGGGATTCGGGTGGATCTGCCTTTATGATGGTCAGGCTCCGTCTCTTCTCCCATCTCATCCTGGTACCCAAAGCTCATTAAGTTGCCCCGACCTTAGCATGGTATTGAGTTTGAAGAATTTTCCCAGGAGCATCTACTTTTCTGTAAGGATTCTGGCCTCTGGAATTCTCTGCCACCTGGTCAAGAAACACGCAGGCCTAGACTGACACCCCACCCTCCTGATGATTTAAAAACCAAGGTTGGAAACGCTAGAAGGGACCTCACTGCCTCTGTCCACAGAGTTGCCAGTGTCCCTTGGGTCCTTCAGAAAAAGGGGAAGGCAATCTTCATTTTAAATGGAGTTCTAGCTAAGGACCAAAGCTCCCATCCAGGCCTGTGGAGACACTGTTTCTATCAGGCACGGAGCATTTTCAGCATCTTTTTAAGCTGGTGTGTTTCTCACCCCTGGTTCCAGGGAGAAGATTGCCTACTTCACCAGAGCGAAGATAACCATCCCGTCCCTGCCCGCTGATGACGTGTGACCACATCACCGACAAGCTCGTGTTTTTCACCTCTTCATTTCTTAGGGAGGGCAAAAGACGGAACATGCATCTTGTTCGGGATTTTGTTTTGTAATATAACCGTCAACTCTTAAAGAGCTTTTATTTCACGTCAGATTTTCAAACATGTTAATTTGTAAAGTACCTTGAATATAATTCTAATTTGTTTAAAAAAAGAGAAAAAAAAAATCAGATAACCAAACGGGATCACCCGGTACCCAAATGTACAGTATCGCCAGTGGGCTTTATTTTGTAGAAATGGAATAGAGGCAGGACCCCACGTGTATCCCGTTGGACCGACTGTTGAGAAATAACTTGGTTTAGCAGAAGGCAGTTTTCGCTTTTCCTTTGTCCTCCTATGAGCAACCGTGAGGCTGGCAGCAGGGACCCTGGGTGCCAGAAGGCGGCTCCTTCCACGGGAGCAGGAGCCTCAGTGCAGGGTCTCAGGTCCACGTGGGACAGAGGGTGCATTCATCTCCATCACCTCTGTCGGAACACTGTGTCCTGGGAACAGCTTCCTTTTTGTCCTTTTCTGTGTGTCTAAAGAAAATGAAAACAAAACCTGAGTATGAGAAGGTAAGGATGCAAAGGAACCATTCTCCTAGTGACACTTCACTTCTCGTGATGTGTGACTTTAAAGGCAGGGAGACGAAAGGGGAAGAAGGCCAGTTCGCCTCCAACACAACAGCATCAGCACGTTAGCAAGCAGCCGCTGCTTCTCAGTCGGCATGAGTGTAAGTGTTCACACCCGAGTTTCTGGCGTGCGCCAGGCAGGTTGGGTGCTCGGCGTGAGGGTGGTACCCGGTGGATGAAGGTGGGGGCCCGGGGCTCTGAGGACCGGCAATGCCAGCGATGCAGGCGGAGACGCATCAGCTGCATGTGGTGCAACCGGGCGCAGAAGAAGGGGTGTCTTGACTGAATCAGGGTTGCCAAATACTTCAGTAAACCAATTTCTTCCAACCTTTACTAGAAGTTACTTTGCAGCTGTCATTTTTAGGGAATCCTGTCTGTAGCTTGTGGTAAGCAGTTAGGACGCAAAGAGAAGAGAGTGCCTGGGGAGATGATTAAATTAAAGTAAAGTCTGAGTCACTTGTTTAAAAAATATATATATTCCAGACGAACAAGATGGGAACCAACTAAAGTTCCCTCCGGTGGAGAATTTTAGCTTGCCCAACTCAAGCACTTCTTAAAAGAAACAAATCCCCAGGATAGCCCTGCCTGCATACAAGGCTTTTAAAATAAACAGTTTTTGTGCAAGTTAAGCCATACTTGCTACCCAGTCTGTAATACTGGAAGGGGCAGTGTTTGGTGAGCCACCTTAGGTAGCAAGTGAAATCAATTTTTTTTTTTAAGAGATGAAAAAATCATCTTAAAGGAATGGGTCCCATAAAAAAAGAAACACGCGTTCTATTCCTAAGCTAGAGTCCTCATTGGTTAAGAATTTATATTTGAAAGCAATTACACATGTTTTGGAAAGTTCATTTTTCAGAATCAGAATTCAAATCAAGCCATTTCTGAGCCTAGAACTGTAATGACTTTTCCTAAGTGTCCCCACCATTTATGTACAAAAGTCTCTGAAGTGATAACTGGACGTGACACTACTTTGAACAAAAACCAGTCTCGTGAATTGACTGAACACAGTCCTTGCAGGCGGCCCAGTTCATCCTGTTAGGTGACCTAGGAGAACTGGAAAAAGAGCTCTGTTCCTCCTTGTCAAGGTCAAATGTGAAAAACAGAAGTTTATTTAATGTAGAGTTAAATGAAGGTCAGCTGTCTTCAGCTTCTCAGTGTGACCATGAAAATGTTTATAGGATTATGTGTGGTTGTACCGTACGATTTTATTTTCTTCATTTATTTATTTACGGTCTTATTTATGTTCTGTTTAATATATAGTTTGGTTCTGGCCATCTTAAATGTTTGACATAGAAGAGGCTATATTGGAATATTTACAGCTTTATAAATTCCATCAGATTAGCTGTTAACTTTTTGTACTACGCAAGAGTTTCAGACAAGCATAAAAGAATAAAACCTGTCTCAGGCCGGTAGTTAGCAGTTGTATGCAAGATGCTTTGGTTTTATTTTACAGCATTTGCTCATTTCTAACATGAGAGGCAAACTTATTTTAATATAATCCTTTTTCACACTTTAAAAATCAGCAATAGTGTTATGTATTTATAGGCAGCTTTTAACAATCCTGTTGTATTTGTACTAACCCAAATGATTCACAGTGACAAAACATTTTAATAACTTGATCACAAAACCATCTGGACAACATGAATTTTAATATTATAAATACTATTTTTTAAAGGTAGAATTTATTCTTCACAGGGTAAAAAGAATGTAATATTTAGTTCTCAAGTTTGAATTATCAGTATGTTATTACAATTTTGTATATCAGAATCTAAGTGTTACAGGTACAAAAAGAATATTGCTAGCCAAATGAACAAAGTTTAGCTGAATCTCTGTAGCATGCAAATCAAATAAATTTAAAATCTTTTTTGGTATTACTTTATATTGTATTAAATATCAAAAGCTCAGGACTGAAACTAAATATTTAATCAGGTTAAATTCTGAATATGTTTCTGTTTTAATTTGTCTTGTTTGTAAAAGTATGCAAATACATCACATAGATTAACTCTGGTTTCTGCACTTTTCATGTGTTCATGGGTGGAAAAAAAATTCAGTGTTTGTTTTTTTTTTAAACAAAGATACATATTGCCTAATACTTTATTTCGGTGTCTTTATTGTTCACTTAATTTCCCTGACTGGCACAAACACAAAAGTTTACTCAAACTATGTACCAAACAAATAGAAAATCTTTCATGAAGAATTCCTCAAGCCCACGGCTTGTTGTGAATAGCTCTTGGCTGGACCATATATATCATTGATTCTTTTAAAAGGGGCCCAGGGAGGGGGGCAGTGCTCTGCCCACACCCCCCAGTCCTAGCCCCCAGCACCCCTGTGGCTGCTCCTTCTACCCCAGGACCCAGGGCACAGAAGCAGAAGCACATCTGTGTGGTAGATCTTTACATGAATCTTTAAAACCCCAGGCTGCCCTCTACTTCAGACAAGTCTCCAAAGAGGTGCGAAGCTCTGCAGTTCAAAAGGAGATGGTGTGTCCCCCATAGGCACCTCTCATGCTCTCAGACAACCAGCGATTCTCTTAGTATACAAACTGCCAGACTTTCGTTGTTGTTTAGTCGCTAAGTTGCGTCCGACTCTGCCACCCCATGGACTGTAGCCTGCCGGGCTCCTCTGTCCATGAGATTTCCCAGGCAAGGTAACTGGAGTGGGTTGCCTTTTCCTCCTCCAGGGTATCTTCCCAACCCAAGGATCAAACCCATGTGATTTTTTACCACTGAGCCACCAGGGAAACCAGACTTTCAGTTTTAGCATAACATGATTTTAAACACTTAAAAGAAGTCAATGGTTATCAGTAACATTTTCATTTGCCAAGTGATTTTATCTCTGTGAATAACACCCTCAAAAGATGTGTAGATGCTAATATAATGTTTTATTGACCAGTTCTGTGCAGTCCCTGAATCCATTTTAAAATTGAGAAAACCCATCCCCAATAATGAGTATGATGACTATTAAGTCTTGAATGGTTTTGGCCTCAGAGTGGAAGAAAATCATTTACCACCTTAGAAAGAAATGACAGTTTCAGAAACAACAGAGGAAAATACATTTTAGAAAACAGAAAGCATAGTGAATGGGTGACTGTGTAACCAGGAAGTCCTACCAAATCATCCGAGGAGGAGACACGGCGGACCCCTTCTGGGTTAGAGTTTCAGCTGAGTGGTTTTCATCTCCAGATGTAGACGGTGAGGCTGCGTTTCTGCCACTGCGTAGTGGCCAGAAGCCAGGGGAGCCTGGGTCCCGCAGGCAGCACAGTTCAGCAGACACCCTCCCAGCAGGAGAGAGAATCCAGCAAACCAGCCGATAAAGAGGGCCTCTCCAAACTCCCACCTGGGCACAATCTCGGGGATGCTCTCGTCCCAGAACTCCTGGACTGTCACGTGGGCCACCCAAGAGACGGGAACGAGGGCCGTGACGCCTGCTGTCCAGAACAGAATTCCTCCCAGGATCAACAGCCGCTTCTTGACGTCCCGCTGTGTCTCTCCAATCCTCAAGCAGTCCAGGCCAAAGCCCGACACCAGCAGACCCAGGAGCCCCAGCCCATTCGAGAGGAACATTAAAACCCTGGAGATCCTGAGCTCAGCAGGCAAACCCAGAAAAGACTCGAAATCTTTGCACTGTGTCCCCACTTCCTCCTGGACGACACAGGCTTGCCAGAGCCCCATGGTCCAGTTTTCCATTTCATTTAAGTCCAGGTTGAAATTCTTCCATTGCGGCAGGTAGTTTGTAAGACAGGATAAAACCCATCCCAGCAAGGATAATGAAATTCCAGCTAATTGTGCCACCGCTCTAAACACTAAAGCCATCATAAAATCCTGCGACCTTAGCCAGGCTCACCCCTGTCTTTCAGTGGCTGTGAAAAGAAGTGTGACACTTGTATTAATATTATCACTTGCAGAGCTCAAAACTATTTTTTCATTGTGTATATAGGAGGATTCTTGCCAGAGTTGCTATTGTTCAATTCTGTGTTGAATAGATTTCAGAAAAGGATAGGGAAATAATTCTGCAAACCAGTCATGCCAAGGTGTGGCCAAGATCATGTTCACATCCTATGGACTGCATTTCGTAGTATGCAGTTTGTCCCCAGAATAACATGAACTGGTAATAATCCTCTCATTGTGAATGTATAAAAGGTTCTCGTGTTGTTCCCAAACTTTCTGGTAAGTCAAAGAATTAAGAAGTCTCCAGGCAAAATGTTTAATTGACAGTTTGGTTCAACTCCTGCTGCTTTTTATCTAATTGCACCTGTCACATTTTCTTCTATTCAAAGGTCTCATGTTTCAGTACGCCTGTTGTGGTAAGTGTTATTGGCTTTAAAAATAGGTTCAGCACAAGTATTTCTTAACCAAATCAATCACAGAAATTTCTTCTGTAGGCTTTAAATCAGACTTTGTTTTCTAATCTCTTAGGCTACATATACCCCATAACATATGAAACCATTCTGAACTAAGTATCAGGTCTGTTTAACCCCAGTGCCTTCCTGACAGCTACCCTCATGTGGGCATAAACACTTGGCTAGTTTTTGTTTGGTTCTTTTCCTGAACAGCAAAAAAGTTAAGCAGTAGTACTGTCTAGGTTAGAATCCACATCCGTTTCAATTCATCTCCATGCTTGTAACTTTTAATCAAACAAAGGAATGTTTTTATTACACCTGATGAGCTGAATAACAAGCAAAATATTTTTGGAATTGTTTTTTTAAAGTCTGAAGCTTTTGAGGGAAGAGAGGAGAAGAGATTGGCTGGTATTTTAAATCTCAAGAGTATCACAATGAACTGAAAACCTTCAGCCACATAAAGTCCTGCATAGCAGGGTTCCTAGTAATTTCCTAAACAAAAACCACCTCTGTTCAAGAAAGACCAACTCATTGTTGTGGAAATGGCACTTTGGAGAGGCTTAGCATGTGGTTTTGCTAGTACAGAATGCTTAAAGGATTTCAAATTGTTAGTTTAGCTTTTTTTTTCCCTTGAGGAAACAAGTTATCAATTTCAGCTGCCAACAAAACCAAAAACAGTTTCTAATATCAAATTAACATATGAAGCTTAATGCTGACTCTATTGGACAATCGCCACTACGTTTTGATTGAAATAACCAGATCAATGAAATTTCTTTTGTTCATACCTATGAAATGGTTACCACAACTTTCTTTGGATATAAGATTGGCCTCTTTCTTACTTCTCCAGGTTTGGGGAGGATGAGCTATCTAGGATAGAAAAGTCATTGTCTGATGAGAAAACGTGAGCAGCACAGAGTTAGTTACATGACGAAGACCCCTTTTTCCTGCAGACACTGCATCCCAGTTGATGAAGGAAGATATACCTCTCTGTTTTCCTCAGTGCCTTATACCGAAGGGTTGGCAGTTCCGTTTTCCAGGTATGCACACTGCGTTTGCATTTCTGCCACTGCGTAGTGGCCAGAAGCCAGGGGAGCGTGGGTCCCGCAGGCAGCACAGTTCAGCAGACACCCTCCCAGCAGGAGAGAGAATCCAGCAAACCAGCCGATAAAGAGGGCCTCTCCAAACTCCCACCTGGGCACAATCTCGGGGATGCTCTCGTCCCAGAACTCCTGGACTGTCACGTGGGCCACCCAAGAGACGGGAACGAGGGTCGTGACGCCCGCTGTCCAGAACAGAATTCCTCCCAGGATCAACAGCCGCTTCTTGACGTCCCGCTGTGTCTCTCCAATCCTTAAGCAGTCCAGGCCAAAGCCCGACACCAGCAGACCCAGGAGCCCCAGCCCATTCGAGAGGAACATTAAAACCCTGGAGATCCTGAGCTCAGCAGGCAAACCCAGGAAAGACTCGAAGTCCTTGCACTGCGTCCCCACTTCCTCCTGGACGACACAGGCTTGCCAGAGCCCCATGGTCCAGTTTTCCATTTCATTTAAGTCCAGGTTGAGGTTTTTCCAATGTGGCAAGTAAGTCGTAATAATGGATAAAACCCATCCCAGAAATGAGAGCAAAATCCCAACGAATTGCATTGCTACTCTCAAGACTGAAGCCATTGCAATAGGCCTTAGGACCCTCGCCACCCCTATAGGAGCTGCCGTCTCGTGGTGGGCAGTAGTGTGACAATCCTGGTTAAATGCCGCTCAGGGAATATAAGCTTTGGTCATTAACTCTTTGCACACTCTGAAATGCGTTTTTGTTCTTCTCGAATATAATGTTTCATGTAAAGGACCAAGGGCTCTGTTAAAACTATGAGTTAGGCTTTCCGATAAAGATTTGATCTGTTACCTTCCAATTTGCTTGGTAAAATTATATCCCCTATGCTTGATGAGTATAAGTCTAAGGATGAACAAAGAGAGCTCTATGACCCCTCACCCTAAAATACAACAGAAATCTTTGTGCTTCAATATGGATTAATTAGATTTTAAGTGGTGATAAAAGGCCAGCTCTTTCTACAACAGGACCTCATTGTAATAGCTGAATCTGAGATTTCAGAGATGCAAAACAAGACCTTGTAAAGAAAGGTAGACTGTTTGTCTATAATCTTTACCCTTCTCAGGCTTCCTTAACCTACACGAGAGCCTGGCCCACGTTCTTGAGTGTCACAGGGACTCGGTTGGGACTTGGCAGAGAACGTTTCCCTCAGATTCCTTTGAAAGGTAGAGGCAGATACACTGGATTAATTAAAATGAAAGACACCAAGGCCATGCCCAGAGGTACCAACTGAGGAAGGGGGCATCTCTGGATTTCATTCTGAGATTTTCTCCATCCATCCTTGTTAAGGACCTGAGATAGAACATGATTTCTTAGTATCCAACAGGTGGTTTTTTGGTCCAGAATCAAGCTGTCTTCACTATCATTTAAGCCACAAAGACAAAGCAGCACCAGGCAAGGAAACTGCTACCAATTCCAAGACAAAACAGCCTCCCTGGGACTGAGCTTTGAGGCGTCATCTTTGTGTGTGTGTGTGTGTGTGTGTGTGTGTGTGTGTGTGTTCTCATTATGTTTTAATTTATGAACTGAAGGATAATTGCTTTACAAAATTCTCTTTCAAACCTCAACATGAGTCAGCCACAGGTACACATAGATCCTCTCCGTTTTGAACCTCGCTCTCATCTCCCTCCCCATCCCACCCCGTCTAG